ATATCGCCGACGAATGCGTCCACAAAATACAGTGTCTGCCTCTTTGAGTGCCAGTGCGGACCCTCTCCCAGATTGTATCCATTGTCGCCCAACGCTTCCACTTTGAAACACATTTGAGCCATACTTTTGAATCAAAAGTTTTGAATCACTTCACAAAACTTGTGTTCAGTTTTACGCCTCTAAACGCTGTACAGAGAGAGGAGTACTCAAGCGTTTGACGCAATATTACATTTGATTAAAGCTTAGCAAACATACGATAACTAACTTAACTCGTTATCATTTATTCATCACTCGTATACTTAAACCAAATTAATTTAAGTCTTAATAATATATCGATTAAAATGATCTCAAAATGAGTTCAAAACTTTGTAATTCTTAAATAAAATTGCAAATCATTATAACATGAATCTTAAAAGTGAAGGCAATTGTGATGACCCATCCCTGCCATCCATTTACAAACCCATTCATCTCTACATTTGTTTAATTTTATTCAAATAATTATAATTAAATTTTTAATATTAACGTAAACTCGAAATGTTTAGAATAATTGTTCAAATTGTAAGTTCTAAAAGACATCCACAAAATGGACTCGTTTTCACTTTTTGTATTGAGTGTAAAATTTGAGCATTAAATGAATGGTTTAATTAAAGGTAAATTCAATTCAATTGAAGATTAAAATTAATTAATTGTTAAATTTATTGAAAGTTTATTATTCAACAAAAGATTAGATTCGAAGAAATAAAAGACGTATTCAATGAATACACTCTTTCATTGAGTGATTAGTTATTATAACGAAACGACGTTTCATTTAATTGACGCCAAAGTCGGGCGTATTTTCTATGTTTAATAAATTTATTTAAAATAAAGTTATTTTAAAGACTTTTCGGTGAAAAACTTTGAATAATTATTATAACAATTATCTAATATTTAAATAAGACATAAATCATTGAGTTATAAAATGTATTTTATTAATAATTACTAATTGTGTGTCTCTTAAGTGGCTGTTGTGTGGCGTTTGGCGTCTAATATGTGTTGTGTTGTGTAGTGTTGTAAATGTTGTGAATGGTATTGAATGAGTGAATGAGTGCCACAAACACTGCAAACACTACACAAAACACAACAAACCCTTCAGTTTGGCCTCAATTTTGAGCCAAAGAGTAATCATTTGTCCGTCACTTTTGTCACACTTTCATCACTTTAATTGATCCCAATTTTGATGTCATTTATATCAATATTGCCATTAATTGATGGGTTTTTAGCGATTGATTGCATTCATCACTCAATGATGTCATTAACTTTCACTCAATCTCTTGAATACTAATCCAATTAATTAGTGATTGTTTTGATTTGTGATTAACACTGAGATTAAGGATTGAGTGTTTGTTTTGATTGTTTGGATCATTGGTTTTGTCACACATCCAGTGATTGAGTGATAACCACAACAATCATTGTATGCATTCATTGTTGATGACAATTGTCTCTCTCTCTCACGTGACAAACACTTCAAATGTTTTAATTGTTATATTTTTGACATTTAGTTTAGGTTTGAGTTTTGAGATGAGTTTAAAACAACCGAAAAAAGACACTAAAATGAGAATCAGAGCCTTTCCAGTGAGTGTTGGCCAACACATGCCCTCTCTTTGCTTTCATTGTCTTGTCTTTCCTTGTAGACATCAATGGACGAGAAGTATGTGCTCAGCATTTGGACACTACTTAAGAACGCTATTCAAGAGATCCAGAAGAAGAACAACAGCGGTCTCAGCTTCGAAGAGCTGTATCGCAACGCCTATACTATGGTTTTGCATAAACACGGAGAGAGACTATACAATGGTCTCCGGGATGTCGTCAAAGAACATCTCGTGAATAAGGTTTGGTTACCATTGACTCAACACTTTGTGTTCATATCTCGGTATCTATTGTTTAGGTTCGTGTGGATGTGTTGAACGCATTGAACAACAATTTCCTGCAAACCCTGAATGAGGCGTGGAATGACCACCAGACCAGTATGACAATGATCAGGGACATTCTCATGTATATGGTATGTCTACACTTGCCATTCACCCCGTGTTTCCAGTGATTGTAATGTGTTGTGTGTGTGCCTTAGGATCGCGTATACGTCCAGCAGAATAGTGTTGACAATGTCTACAATTTGGGTTTGAATTTATTCCGCGATCACGTCGTCCGATACGGCAATATTCGGGATCACTTGAGGGAAACACTTCTCGATATGGTTATGAAAGAGCGAAAGGGAGAAGTGATCGATCGGTTAGCCGTTCGTAACGCGTGTCAAATGCTAATGCAGTTGGGAATTGACTCCAGATCGGTATACGAGGAAGACTTCGAGCGACCATTCCTTCAACAATCGGCAGAATTTTATCGAGTAATGACTTATTATTTGTTGGTTTTTGAAACAGTTGTTTGATTTTCTTGTTTTATTGAAACACTAGTTTGAAAGTCAAAAGTTTTTGGAAGAAAACAGTGCTTCGGTTTACATAAAGAAAGTCGAACAGAGGATCAACGAAGAGGCCGAAAGAGCACAGCATTATTTGGACACTTCTACTGAACTAGAGATCGTTCGAGTGGTCGAAGAAGAACTCATAAGCAAACATATGAAGACAATCGTCGAAATGGAAAACTCAGGAGTCGTTCATATGTTGAAGAACCAGAGAATTGATGGTTTGATGACAAAGATAACGACAACTGATTATTAACTAATTCTTAATTAATTACAGACTTGTGTTGTATGTATAAACTGTTCTGTCGCGTCCCCAGTGGTCTCCAGGCGATCATCACTTGCATCAGTGCTTACCTTCGAGAACAGGGAAAAGCATTGGTTACCGAAGAAGAAGCGACCAAAGGAGACGCCGTCGCCTTTGTTCAGGTATGGAATGAGTTGTATAAAAGTGGGAAATGTTTTCACAAGAAATGTCTCGTTTTGTTTCAGTCATTACTTGATCTGAAGGATAGATTCGATAAATTCCTTTCGGAGTCGTTTAATGGCGACAAAGAGTTCTTGAAAATGATTGCGAAAGACTTCGAGTACTTCTTGAATCTCAATCCTAAGTCACCGGAATATCTGTCGCTTTTCATTGACGACAAACTGAAGAAAGGCGTGAAAGGGATGACAGAGCAGGAGATCGAACAGGTGTTGGACAAGACTATGGTTTTGTTTCGATACCTTCAGGAGAAGGATGTGTTCGAACGCTATTACAAACAACATCTGGCGAAACGACTTTTGCTCAATAAGAGTGTTTCGGACGACTCGGAGAAGAACATGATATCGAAGCTGAAGACAGAGTGCGGCTGTCAGTTCACATCCAAACTCGAGGGCATGTTTAAGGATATATCCGTTTCCAACACTATGATGGAAGAGTTCAAATCGCATGTTAACTCATCACAAGTATGTCCACTCACTTACCACTGATTGTCACATTAACCACAATTGCTTATTACCTCCTATCAGATCAACTTATGGGGCGTTGACCTGAATGTACGGGTGTTGACCACTGGCTTCTGGCCGACACAGTCGACTCCATCCAAGTGTAACATTCCTACGGCTCCGCGAAATGCATTCGAAGCTTTCCGGCGATTCTATTTAGGAAAACACAGCGGAAGGCAACTCACACTTCAGTCACAACTCGGTTGGGCTGATCTCAACGCTGTCTTCTATGGCGCCAAAAGGGAAGACCTCGCGACTGATGCAAACAATTTGAACGCTACCGCTTGCACTTCCAGTTCGGTCAACAGCTTTGACAACACTGTCAGCACTTCCTCATCACTACAAACCACTCAATTAGCCACTAATACCACCGCTTCAGTGAAGATCACTCCCAGAAAGCATATAATACAAGTGTCAACGCATCAGATGTGCGTTTTGATGCTATTCAACACCAGAGATAAGATTACTTATGAAGACATCGCCAACGAGACTGATATCTCCGAAAAAGATTTGGTTCGAGCGCTGCAGTCGCTGGCGATGGGAAAAGCGACACAAAGAGTCCTCATTAAGACTCCAAAGACAAAAGAAATGGGTATAGAAATCAATAATTGTTTGCTTTTATGCAAAATCTGAGTAATTGTTGAACATTACAGAAGCGAGTCATATATTCACTGTAAACGATTCGTTCACATCTAAACTACATCGCGTCAAAATACAAGCCGGTCTGCAGTCAATGCCATTCTTTCTCAACCCTATCACACATCTAATGCTTGAATTGTTTGTAATTATAGTGACAGCAAAGGGAGAGTCAGAACCCGAGCGAAAGGAGACTCGTTCTAAAGTAGATGAGGACAGGAAGCATGAAATAGAGGCCGCAATCGTTAGGATAATGAAAGCCAGGAAACGCATGTCTCACGCCAGTCTCGTGGCAGAGGTATGTCATCACAACTCCACACATTACCACTACAATAGTATTCATTATTGTCTTGTTTTCGCCACCAATAGGTCACAGAGCAGCTGAAGACACGATTCCTTCCGAGTCCTGTTGTCATTAAGAAGAGAATTGAAGGACTCATCGAAAGAGAATATTTGGCCCGAACTCCAGAAGACCGGTAAATATGACTCATTGAGAAACCAATGGAATTGATTTGTAATTTGATGTCTTTGTATTACAGGAAATTGTATACATATGTAGCTTAACATTACTATTGGGATTAAAAATACTTTAATAAAAAAATAATTACGCGCTTTAAGAGCCAATTATTTATTGTTTTAAAACACTCTTAAAATAGTTTATAAAATTTCATTCTGTGTCCAAACATGTCATCAAATTTTGGAATAAATTGTTTTCATACAAAACTATGGGTGGTTTTAATCATAAGTCATATAAATGTCACTCAATTGTGTTGATCACTAGTATTGTTCGTAAAATTTAGTGGATTTCTTCTCATTTTGCGATCCATTATCTGAATCACAAACTATTGAACCATTTTGTGATAAAAGCCATTCAACCACTAATTATAATAAAAAAATGTATTTAAATTTTTATAATAATTTTTTGCCTTACTTATATTTGAAATTCAAATGTTGAACCAAATAATATGGTATAATTGATAAGTGAAAGCACTTGCCTTTTAAATTCATATCCTTTCCACCGAACGTCTGTTTGCCAATCAGTTGTTTCTTAAGGACACCGTTCTTGTAGAGGAAGAGTGCGGGTAAACCAGTGTCGGGAAAGTTGGCCACACATAACGAGGCAATACTTTTTAAGAACTTTGTTGTCGGGTATTTGACCGCCAATTCGTTTATTATTTTGTTTAAAATACTGCATTCGGGGATACTTTTGACGACAATAGATGACAATAATAAGTGACTATTGTATGGATTGGTTGTGCGAAGACATACCCGGACTGATAGAGAAAGAGGACAACATTGATGTCGTTTCCGGCGCCGTTAACTTCCGCCACATAATCAGTTGCCGTGATTTCTCTCACGTCTCCAAACGTGGGGATCAAACTCTTGGCCCGCATTTCGGCCATTCGTCGGTTCCTATACTCTCGCATCACGTCTTCGTCGTCGTCATCCAAATCAAGCAAATCGTCTTCGCTTTGGATGTCATTTAGCTTTCGTTCAAAAGTCGAGAGCACTTCCGGTTCCTCTTTGGGTTCCGGTTTGGGCTCTTCTTTAATGATTCCGTGTTTTTTCAATATATCCGTCCATTCCGTGTCCTCCTATCCATCAAAGCACTCATTAATACAACTATTGAACACATTTTCACACATTTATTGATACCATAATTACGAGTAAATCAGTTGATGGGAACCAACTCTTCGATCAATTGAGAAATGAGAGCAAAAGTGAAGTGAAATCTAATTTTAGACAAAATAATTCAAAACTCCATAAAAAGTATTTACGAGTGAATTGTGAAACGCCTTCACTTATAGCACACCATATGATAGCAATCATAGCATCCCTTCATTATCTCAATTCAAGACAAACATAACTCAAATGTATTATTATATCATTTAATATAAGGTATATATTCTTCCATCAAAACCATATGAAATGCATTCAATAGATCCTAAATTGTGTGAAAAAGTTGTCAACAAATTAATGTCACATTTAAATGAATATTCAAATGACGCCAAAAGTAGTCAAAACAAAGTCTAACAGAAATGTAAAGTATATGTAATTTAGTGTTAATTGGGATGAAATGTATTGTGCAATGAATGGCTAATGTGTTTGAATTGTGTTTGGATTGTGTTTGCAGTGGAATAGCATTGAATGGAAATGACATCTCATATAACCTTCAATTCATTCCACAATTTATTAGAATTTAATTCAACAAAAAGTATTCACTTTTATGAGCGAAAAATGCAGTCATAATACAGTGTATCTCACAAAACACATACACTAATAATATAGCCTATTGTCAGCCCCTTTAGTGCCCCTTATATTGGCATTGATAGCAAAACACACACATTATTTGACTAAAGCCACGTCTGAAATGTCACGTCTTATATGAATGGTTGGCATTATTTACACTTTCATTGCATTGGAATCGCATTTCAACACTCAATTCAATCAAATCTCCATTTGTTTGCATTGTTTTGTATTTGTATTTCTATTTCAATCCATTTAAACATTAATTTAGTTATTATTTGTTTCATACGATTGTATTGTTTGTCAAAATGTGACACAAATTTGATTGCATTTCAATACAAATCGATATATCATTTGAAAACTCGAATTAAAAATTATAGATATTTTGGAAATTTCAATAAAAATGTCTTTTTTAATACAATTAATGAAATCAAACACATATTCATTACACAAATGTCTAATCGTTTGGATTTTGTGTATTATTTCATTGAATATAAGTCTTACGAATGGAGACATCGCTGTCGTAAGCAATCATATGATTACCACAAGTGAATGAATTGATAATCTTTGTTGACATTCCTCTTCATCAACAGATCTCTCCAACCAATCGGACAGTGGATGTGTTCGTCGACTTTGAATTAGGTTTCGCCGCTTCTGTCCCTTCGGATGGCATTATTGTATGGCATATGAAATGTGCGACAAATGAGCGCATAATTAATGATTGAATTGATTGATTGAAGGGTCGACTCGTTGTGGGCCAACCCGAGGATGGATGCGATAAAATGGTTGGTCCGCCGCAGACCAACCAAACGGGTGTCAAATGGTTTGTATTGGTTAAGCGCTATCCGTGTCAGTTCAGCCAAAAGGTCTGTTCAACCATCCCTTTGATTGCCATCTAATCCTAACCGTAATGTTATCTCTGGTTTAGGTTCAGTACGCAATGAAAGCCGGATTCGATGCCATTATTATCTATAACATCGATGTTATGACTGTTAAGAAGTATTCTTTAGTCCATTCATCACAAAGTGGTAATGATTTGTAATTATGTTGTCATGTGATGTAATAATGACTTAAATGTGTTATTGTGTCGATTGTGTGGCCGAACAGAGAATGGAGTGACAATTCCGGCTCTTCTAATCTCGTTCGAAGACGGCTGGGCTCTCAAGAGAGAGTATCTCTGGAATAAAGGCTTCTTTCTAATGATATTACCGGATCTGCCATTCAATCTGAACGCATATCTCTTGCCATTCGCTATTGTAATCGCTGTCTGTCTTCTTCTCATGATTTCATTTATGGTAAAGAGAAGTGAATTGTTATTAGAAATCAATTAATAACGGAATTATTAGATCTTTCAGATTGTGAAATGCATTCGCGATCGAAAGAGACGTCTTCGGCATCGGCTCTCATCCCGACATCTCAAACAAATCCCGATTCAAAAGTTTAAAAAAGGTATTCAATGTAATACTTAACTCATTTTAATACTTATACACAATATGTGAACCAATAGGCGATCAATACGACACGTGTGCCATATGTCTGGAGGAATATACTGAGGGGGAAAAGCTTCGCATTCTTCCTTGTGGTCACGGTATGTGTGAATCAATGATCACTTTGTTTGCTGTATTTGTAACGCACATCCCGTTGTATAGCCTATCACACGAAGTGTATCGACCCGTGGCTGACAAAGAACCGTCGGGTGTGTCCCGTATGTAAAGGCAAAGTAGTACTTCCGGGGATGAGTGATATCAGTGATACTGAATCCGAGTCCGAAACGCACAATACGGGAGCCAATGAGAGAACGCCATTACTATTCGCCGATAGAGCCCACACTCGGCATAGGAATGGTAGGCGTCGGCGGCGATCGTATCCACAGACGAGCGCTTCGACCGAACAAACGAATGGTACAAATACTGAATCGGCAGCTCATGAGACGGCAGACCCCAATAGTCCACTCTTACCGCCCGACAGCGTGAGTGTGAGTGCGCCTAATGTGACACTCGTAGAGGTGGACATCACTCCTATGATGGCTCCGACCTATCTATCGGTCAACTGCGACGACGAAGAATCAGTGCTCGAAGTGGCCGATGAGGTGACCCCTCCTCCGCCTACCCCTGCTATTAGCGCCCTTTCAGCCGAATCCAGAGCTTCTCGGAGTCGTCGACACGATGTGATTGTATAGTTAGTCACACTTTAATGTAAATATGGATTCAATAGATTGCGTAAAACAACTCATTTTGAACAGTAATCGTGAGATTAAGTAAGAAATTAATGAGAATAGATTTCTAAAACATTTCATTCAACTAATTGTTTAGTCATTTAATCGTAAACTCATTCAATATATTTGACCGCAATTTTCAACAACAAAAAAATATTTTCTTTGAATAATTAGAATATATATAATAAATATCGATATATTATATTATATTTAACTTAAATATTATTGTTTCGTATAATATATTGCATACAAAAAGACATTTATTTTAATTGAATTTTATACTTAATTTCCTTTAATTGCAATATTTGTTTCAAAGCAATGATCAGTCAGTTATGCCTTCGGTTTAATTATTTTAAACATTATTTGTTTTGTAAATTTTATAAATATTTAATAAAACACGCATTCGTTTAGTTTACAAATGGATTCATTATTTTAAATAGTAATTGAGATTTGATTACAAACGGCCCAAACTTTATGCCACTAAATATGGGATTTCAGCTTAAGTTTATAGTTAAAGATGAGACTCATTTTATTTTGTGAGTAATGTTAATTTTATGGAACTAATGCTAATTCTATGGACAATGTTAATTGTGTGGGTAATGTGCAATTCACTACTTTTAACTTATTAGAGGACACAACTTTTAACCTTGGTTTTCATAGCAAATCTTAAGAGTAAATTATTCAAAACATATTCAAATAGAGGACTGTCCTTCTGGTCACCCTATGTTTAGCACTCAACTTAATATTTGATCGACCGGCATGGGAAAGGGGTTTTTAGTATATGTAGCATAGTATAGAAAAACCCCTTTCCCATGCCAGTCATTCATTTGACTAATAACAGACTGGGCAGTGAAGCAAACGTTCAGTTCATTTATTCATTCACTCAAATAGACGTCATTTGTGTGCAATTGTTGTCACATTTGGCGCTAAACTGAACCCAAACCACAACTGTTTTGAAACAGCAATGAATTGCGAGTCTTTGGATCAGCTCTTGAATCACTTCCACTCTAAGATCTCAATCATCACTGATTTGTTTCCTTTGAGTCAATTGTACGACAATTACGACCACAAGAATGAGTGGAAGAGAAACGCTGTCCTCGACTCCAACCACTGGATCCAATCGACCGACTCTTCGGACAACTATTGTCTCGAATCGGTTCCCAAAAAACCGGATTTGAAGGAAATGTCGCAAATGATTGTCGAAATGAAAGCAATGATTGCAGACATTAAGACAATTGTGAGACAACAGAAGCGCATAATCGGTGACCGAAACACCAAATATAGCCATCGATTGGATCTAATGGTCAAACACTGCGAACACATTAACCACAATATCCCCGCTTTTCTCACAAATAAAGGTCTGTTTTTTGAACACATTTTGAACTCATTTTTGATTCACATTTGACTTGAAATTGAAGGCAAAGCTAATGAGGAGAACAATGAACTGCCGGTTAAGAGACAAACCAATGGTCACAACAATAATCACAAACCGGTTTCCAAAGCGATGCCTAAGTCTACCAGTAATGCAAAGCCCGTGAATACAACGAAACCAAACCCGAAGTCAACGCAAAACCAAACGGCGAGAACTGGTGGCAAGAAATGTGTGGCCAAAGACACGAGTATTCCCAGCATTGCGTTCATCACAACCGAAGAGTTCGCAACAATTCCTCAGTAATTGAATGAATGAATTGAAAGCGAGACAAATGAGTGACTAATGTATTGGTGTTTCAGTTATATGTTGGGAAGACTTACTTACGATGTGATGAACAGAGCGGTCGCCGACT